GCCCCGGTAGCCAGCCCGTGCCCCTTTAAGGGGTCCGGGGCCGGGAAGGGGGCATAGAGTTTCCCTGGTGTGGGCCAGAGTGGCCACCAGGGCAAGCTGGGGAGGGCTAGCCTCCCACTAGTTCGAATTAAGGGGCTACACTCCCCTTAATTCGAACTAGCTAGTTCGAACTAGGCTTAAGCCTCGTAAAATGAGGTTTTCCTAGTTTGAACTAAGCGCTCCGCTAGTTCGAATTAAATTCGAACTAGCGGAGCGCTAGCGTAGCGCCTATGAAAGTTAGTTTGAACTAACGTCCGTTAGTTCGAACTAACTTTGTAGTGTAGACATACCCCCATAGAGAGGCAGCAGCGCGCAGTGGGGGAGGAGAAGGCGGCACTGAGGAGCTGGTGCTGGAGGGCACCGCTTAAAAGCCGGTTCCCCCCAGCACCAGTTCCTGCCTACCCCCCTCGCTGCCTCTTTAGGATGCAGGTCTGTGGAACCAGCAGGCATGGGGAGCCTCCTTGAAAGCTGGCTTCCCGTGCGTATTGGCTCCAGCCTGTCCCCCCTCACCCTCTGCACTGCTGTTTCTCTATCTGAGGCAGCAGCACATGGGAGAGGGGTGAGGCAGATCCGGTGCTTGTGGGGAACCTGCTTTCAGCTAGCTCCTCATTGGCACTGACTCCCACTCCGCCCCCCTTGGTGCCTACGATACAGAGTGCGTGTAGTTGACAAGATTAAACAATAAGCCAAGGCTTAATGGTTAATCGTGTAGACACGTTGACATCCCTAATCTATGTAGTGAGACTTTGGCTATCTGCCATAGGCCTCAGTGAATCTAACACTGGTTCGGCTTGGCGGACCTTCCTGAAATGTGCTCGCAGCTCTCAAAGGTGCTCCTGGGCTTCTGGTTGACTCTAACCACAGTGTAAAGAAATTGAAATGTAAATAAACGTCATCCTGTCTGCTGTAAGATGATGTTGGGAAGCTGTGCTGTATTTAATATTTTATATGTACAAGCTAAATGCATGGCACCCTAACTCTGCTAACAGACCATACAATCTAAAGATTTTAGCTTGAGTACCTTCCTCCATGGTAGAAATTACTTTACATTAGTTGATCCAATAAAAGATATTAACTCACCTATTTCATGCCTCTAGTATCCTGGGACCAACACAGCTACAACTACACTACATACTGTATGGAATGCTGTCATTCAAGGCTGCTTAAAAGCAAAAGACAACTAGCAGAGAACAGA